ACACACATATCCCAGATATTCAAAAAAGAATAATTTGTAAGATAACTCCGACGTGTTGAATTTCCAGTTTTATCACTTCAATCGAGAGACACATATTTAATTATACTTCCAAGATTTCTAATTAGAATTTCTTCGAAAAAAAGGAAATAGTTGCGGTAGAAAGTACCGTCAATGTGATCCTGTTCTCGTCGCTTATCTACTCCAAACCGCTTTCTAATCATATAATCCGTTCGTGTTTTAATTCGCGAAGGAGCAGCTATGCATTATCATTAGAAATCGCTTCGAGCGTTTATCAATATTATGATGCGTACGAATGTTATCTCTCTCGCAAATATCTCATGCGGAGCCGAGCCTGGTCGTTCAAATTTTCCTCTTACCTCTTGGCCTTCTTGAGCAGATCATCGCCACCTTCTAGAAATTTTTTCAACGTGTTTGGGATCCGCGAGTCGACTGCAGACACAGCAATGATGTCGCCACCCTGTTTCAGCTGGACACCGAGGTGCGGCGGGCCCCCGCTTTTGTTTGTGAATTGGACGAACCTGACAAAAATATATTGTAATCAGGAAAGTCACGAGTTGCCAGGCCAGTCGGGATAATCATCGTGTTTCGTTACGTCATATGTGACCTGACTTTCTAAATGTCTGAAGCGTCTTTTATCATTTCGCTTTCGACGCGAAATTACGCCGAAACGATAATAGAACGAGGAACAACAAGGAATTAATTACACTGTCAAAAATTCAATAAGTATGTACGACAATTGGGAAATGAAAAAAAAATATATTACTTTTTTCTCTAATCAAGAAAATAGTATTTTATTTTCTTTTTTTGCGAAATGTTATATAAAAAGATAGAAGAAAGTTTGTGTAGCGTTCAAATATCGGTTTCTAAATATTCATATTCAATTCAGATGATAAAACACACTCCGACACACTCATTATGTCAGCATATCTATATATGCCTTTGTATATACGCGTGTATGATTGTATGTAGAAACTTCTAGTCTAACAAAATATGGTAATAAGTGATATTTCAAGACGCGAGAGTTAAGATAGACCTCATACGATTATTATTACGACACAGTTCATCAATTTGATCAGAAAATTAAACAATATATTGCGTTACTTTCGATAAATTCATATGACACACTCTCATATATTTCAATAACTAAACGTTAATAATTATAATTATGATTGTCGCAATATTATAATTTTCGAAAATAATTGCAATTAAGATTTCTGAGTTGTTTTATGCTTTCAGACATCTCCAAGCTTTCATGAATAATTCCAATAACCCTAACATCAGTTATATGTTTCGTTCTGCTTCCCTTGAAAAGTTTCCATATTTATCGAACTAATCTCCATCCCGAGATGTGCGATTTTTATATGTCTCATGTGCGAAAACAAGGATTTTCTGACGAAGCTAGAGACGTAGTTTCGAGCGTGAATTCTCTTTTAATAGAGGCAGACGATATATATAAGACAGATTGGTTACACCAGGAAATATTCATAGTCTGATCTTTTCCGATTTAAAATCATCCTTGATCTGAAATTGATCTAAGATCTAACCAGTTAACAAAACAATAACATTTCAAGATCATTGTCGCTTGACAACCTCGGATGTAAAATCACGTGATGAATACCGAAGGTAAAAACGAAAATGAATTCCTTCCGCCGATCACGACGAGCTATTTGGTAGTTTACATATTTTGAAGTTTGTATTTGTAAATATGAAATGCTTATTCGATTTCAAGATAAATAATTGAATTAGAGAGCATGAAAGCTAAGTCGGATCTTAATACTAAATATTCCGCTACAGAAATTAATTTAATACTGATCAATGGAAATTATTTATTTTGAGTATTAAAAACACTGCCGGTCAGTGCTTTTAATTTTTACTCAAAATTAGTAATTACTATCTTCCAGTATTAAATTTCTATAAGAGTTGTATTATAATAAGAAAAAAATATTCAAAAAATATATAAATGTATCGATTTTACTTTAGATCATCTTCAGTATAATAATAAGTTAAAATAAAAATAGTGAAACAAGAAATACATTTTATAATCGGTAGAAACTGCGTCAGAATATAAAAAATAAAAATGTAAATACAGAATCTCAGGATGGAGATTTAATTTGTACAATTAAAATTCACGTTGGACGGAGCTTTTGAGGTGAAGAATTTTTTATATTGATTAAATTCCTCGAGCTATTTGGTGCAAGATAGGCCGCAGTCGAGTCACGATAAAATTCGCAGCATTTGGAAACTCATCGATCCGCCGAACCGCGAGACGTTCCACCGAAACGGAATTTTGCCCGCCAGTGATACGGCCCTGAATGGTTCATGCTCACCTCATATTGAGCGTGCGGCCCACAGAGAAATTTCTGCTGCCGGCGATGCTGGCGATGGCGAAGCACGGGCTACTCTCGCTTCTCCCGCACGCGTTACTTAATGCAAGGCATGCTCTGCTAAGCAACCGTAATTTTCCACGATATGGCATTTTTTTCGATTATTATCGATTATTATCGAACTGATAAAGGGAGAGAGAGATGCGCGAGCAAAGAAAATGAAAGAGCGATCGTCCAACAAACATACACCGTGAGAGACGAAACGTAACTGAGGTACCCACGCTCTCGAGAGAGCCGCGCGGCGCGTAAGGGGGTTCACTCACGTGACCTTTGATAAAAAGGCAAAGAGACCGATCGATGCAATTTTGAGCAGGATCGAGGGAAAAAGAAGAAAAAGAGAGGCGTGAAAAAAATATGTGTTAAAGGAAATATTTTACGAAGCGTGGAATGCAACATTCGACGATATTATCTTATCTTAAAGTAATATCGATTGTCAATAAACATCTGCACAGAGATATAAAACGCACATTGATAAACAATATCAATTTCCTGCTAATTATGAGCATATAAATTATTTATTTATTATAAGCGAGAAAAGAAATATGAAAATATAAGTTCGACAAATCGATAATCAATATTTTATTATTCATTATTGATACACAAAATACTTATTAAAAGGATTAATAAAAAATAAATTAAAAATTTATGTATTATTTTATATTTTATTATTTACCTTGATAAAGGTATAAATAATTAATAAAGGTTTAAGAAATAATACGAATCCATTTTGAAATCATCTTTAATACCTCTTTAATGAAAAAAAATTTACAATCGTCTAGCAATATAAAATAATGATTACGGCAATGGTTTCCTCCGAGTGATCATAAACTCTTCGCGAGAATGATATGGCTCGTATGGATCGTCGACATAGAAGCGTCGTCTTTTCCAATACTTGGTTACCATCCTATCTAATAATGTTGACTGTGTGGCATTACAAAACACGTGCTCTCGCAATCTCTTCTTTCTGGCGCTCGATTTCGTCCACAGTTTGTTATGTCGACCTGCTTTTGTTCTGATCCAGATACCCCTATAAGATTTTGTATATTTCAAACTTGTATCATTCAAACTTCAGCTTTTTAAAAACAGAAATATTTGGAGCAAAATTAAATTTTTAGGATCAATGTAATCTACTTGATATATCCTTAAAATATTACCAGTTCAGTCGGTAAAAGCGAGTTAAGACTGTCTTCACACTCTTTTGCTTTCCTTTTTTCATAGAAAATTTGATCGCCGTTCTTACTGGTACATTAATAGGTTCCGCTGGCAAAGCTAGACGATTCTCTGTTGTTGCATGGCTGAAAAGATAACATTGTACAGTTGCTTAAGATATCTCCAATAAAATATGTCTATCTCAAACAATGTGTATAATAAAATCTTATAGAAAAGCAACTTAATATCAAGCTGCTGCTAATAAAGTAAACTGCAATGTTCACGAAATGTTAGCATTAATGATAAATGCATGACATGCCGATAACCTACTATAATTTTGACAAATCACTAATTAATAATTAAGAAAATATTTGAAATATATTATGAAAACCTCAAAAGTACTTATAATATTCTATTAGTTATTATTCACATAAAACTCAATGGCATAAATTACGTTTGTAATATTCCATATTACTTTAATAATGCTTTGTGTTGTGTACATCGAATAGCGGTCCAATTCTGAACAGCAATTGACAGTGCCCCAAATCCTCTCTGCTGTACAAAATTTAAGACGGGATCACATCTCGAAGCGATATAGTTTGTCGCATTTGCTGTACTCGTCGCATTTGCTGTACTCGTCGCTTTTGGTGCGATTCCTGAAAGAACAGTAAGCACTATATTTCCAAAATAAAAAAAAATTGTGAAAGATCATCTTACATTCTATAAGTATACGTGATCGCATGTCGCTTAATCACGAGTGAATATCTTGAATACGTTCAAATGGAACATTGAGTTTCTTTTATAAAATTTAATTATTTGATTTTCTTTAATTAGAACACAAAATATTTGGAAACCCACCAAGCTTATCCACATCGGATTTAATGAAAGAAAAAAAAAAGAAAAAAAAAGATTAAACCTTCACGGTGAAAAAGATAAAAATCTCGATGTCCGTTCAAGAATCTCAGGGCCCGGGGATGTATTGAAACACGCGCCCGCGTCCCGATTCCGCAGCGTTCCCTCCGCCAACCGTGTGTCATTATGACCGCGGCGGGACGAATCTAACCTCCTAATGTTGCGCCCCGTTTCATTGGCGGCGCGACGACACGCGGAATCGCGACGTATTATGGAGCAGCGCGGGGTTGACGCGTGACGATTCCTCGCGAAGAGGTCGCCGATCGCGGGATCGGCCGCGAAACGTGCGTACACCCACCTCGTAGCGCCGCGCTCACGACACGCAGCATTCTTCTTTTCACGCAGTTCCGCTCGGTTCCGGTGTGGCCAGCTGTTTTCCCGTGCCGTCGTTCCCCTTTTCCCGCTGGCTGCCTGACCGGCCGCTCGAAGGATGTTCCGAATTGGATTAAAATTTCCGTGCAACGGTCTGAATCGGGTACGTAGCCGCGTACGCGGGATGGTCGCGAGTCCGGGCGAGCTTCGGATCTACGTTGAAATGTCGCGAGGATCGTCGTGCGAACGACCGCGACGGCACGGTCGCGCACCGTCGTGCCCTCGCGACAGTGTCACGCGGCGATCCGGCTCCGACCGCCGATTCCACCGCCGTCGGCTGTCACGCGCCACGAGTCTAACGTGGAGTCGCCGTGGAGTCGAGCGAACCGCGACGGGGATCCCGAAGATCGCCGGCCAACGCGTCCGCGTTGTAAAAAGTATTTACCCGTTCGGCGCGCATCTCGCGTGACGAAGATGGCACGATTTCGAGGAGCTTACATAATTCCAGAGGTTCTCTGATCCCGTCATTGTTTACCTTTCCAGGTAAAAAAACATAGTTGCTCCAGACCATTTCATCTAACTGCTAGGTGCTATGAGTCGCGGACGCACGTCAAATATGAGCCGGATGGAAGGTGAGTTGATCTGACAGGTTGCATCATTTATCAGACATGCCGTTATATAGTAGAGATCATATTTTCGTTTTGTCTGCTTTAAAATGCAATTGACATGTTTTTATACCGTTTATGAACGATTTTGCGCGTGAAATCGAAACGCAATGAGGTTATGTCCGGTCATATGTTTTTCTAAAATAAGAATGAGTAATTTTATGAATGACACACATCTGGCATATTCATAATTTCACTACTACTGTATTAAAGATTTATTGAGCATTAAATAATCATTGCTAGTTTTTGACGAGTAGTACAATTTTATTTTATTGTTTTCATTTGAACTGTATACACATAAAAATAAAAAAAATATATTTTTTTAGGCTATGCAGAGATGTCAGACTTACGTCCAGGTTTATTGGACGTAAGTATTCAACCACATCGCCAAAAAGGTACATATAGAACATATAAACTTTGAAAATAATATATTTTATAAGTTAATGCATGTTTCTATTAGTTTTCTGATATTCATATAATTCTATCTATATCAAAGAAAAAGTAAAAAGAAAATTAGTTAATTTATTTTAATTGGAATACTTGTGGTTAATAACAGTGAAAAAAATCGAGGATCAGGAGTGTTGATAACTCTAGGAGCTGTAACAATAGGTACCTTAGGAATATTAACATATGCGAAACGAGACCCAGAGGTTCGAGCTACCCTCGAAGGATGGATTCCTGGTACTGACAAAGCTATCCGAATTATGTTCCAGGAAGATTCCAATTACTTTGACTTTGTACTTACATTCTTTGAAACATTGAAGCAGACGTAAGGAAATACAAATTATGTAATATGTAATTATGTATAATGTTAATAATGGAAATTATTTATTTTATTAAAATATATATTTTTCTGTAGGATATTAGGCATGTTTGTCAAAGAGACATCAGTATCAGAACCAGGTCAGACAAGAATAGAATATACAAAAATTGTAGAATACATACGTGAGTCCTAATCCATATCCTAATTCCTTAATTTTTCCTATATCTTACTTATTACACCTTCCCTTTTGAGCTAGTTTTTTTTTATTTTTAGAAACCATATATATATAATATAATTAATAGAATTATATTCCTACTAATTTTTAACAATTACGTGTGTGCACTATAGCGCCCAAGTCTGCTTTTGCAAAATCACCGGTCGAGCAGAAAAAAGCGCCTATTGATAAGAATTATGCCGAAATTCGTATTAGTAAAGAGTTCAATGGTGAAAAAATAGACATTGGTACGTTTGTATATTTCTTATAATTGTATTTTATATGAAGTTTAGAAGATAATTAAATAATTCATATTTTTACAGTTGAGCCAGCGCCGTCGCCAAAAACTGCGCCTAGTGAATTGATACCGCAAAATCTTATCGAGTTAGAAACATACTGTGGTGAAGCTGCTGTTAAAGCTATCGCAGCCTATCAAAAGGCAGGATTCGCGCTTCAGGAGTACACTCGAGATGTTGTCAAAGTGATTGAAACCGCTGGCATTACGATAAATGAAGCAATTTGGCAAAGGCAATCTTCGTTATGTTTACGTAATTGTTTCACATTTCATTTATGTATCGATTATATAATCGGATTTGTCACGTTCACAGATTAAAAGAGACTACGGAAAAGAGGAAACAAGCCATAGAGCAGGCAGAACAGCATGCAAAAGATGCGTTAGATTCGCTTAAGCGCATGTACAATTTAATCGACGAACCTGCGGTTGAGGCGGCTGCTCACATGAAAACGGCCGCGAAGCGGAATATTAGAAAAATTATGGATGATGTGGATGAGGCCAAGAAAAAATATACCGAAGAACTACAGAACAGTAATATTACGGAACGTTTTTGGAAGCAAGTTCAGGCAGCGCGAGAGAACTTCAACGAAGAATTGCAAATTCTATTCCCCAGTATAAATATTCATGATAAGAAGCTGTCTGTCAGCGAAGAAGCCTTCGATTTATTCGTGCTGCATATGTATCACAAAGTCAACAATCTGCAAAAGGAGCTAGAGAAATTAAGGGTTAGCATTATTTATTTTGTAAATCTTGCAGTTTTCAAATTTATATTTCAAAAATTTTTTTATGCTAAGTGAATTATGTTTATATGTATTTTTTTATTTATTTATGCTAAGTGACGGTTGTCACATAAGATTGGTAATATTATTTTCATAGAAAAACTGTTTAATTACAGACAGTCAATGAAGCTAAAGTGAAAGCGGCATTGAGAACGACGGGCGACAACGCGACGCAAGAAAAATTAGATGCATTGATTTCTCTTGCGGTTAACCAGGAGAGATTACAGTTTGAAGATGAACAGGCGAAAAAGGTAGGAGTTTTTTTTTGATTATTTTTAAACTATGTGTTTATGTACCCATTTTTGTCTATAAAAAAATATTAAATTTATAAAATAATGTATAGAATTTTAAATTTGTTATAATATTAATGATGAACATAATGTGACGCGTTGTATATTATCGTATTTAAATGCTTCTTTATTTATGCTTTTTGTAGAAAAGAGCTAATTCTATAATGCGCGCGTATATATGTTTGCGACGAGAAAAGCGATATAGTCAAATATGATTCAAATAGCTTGAAAGGGCCAAAGTGTGCCAAAGTGTGCCAAAGTGTGAATCGTACATTGACCAGTCTACGAGCATTTACGCTATTTACTTTATTTCTTTTTTCTTAGTGTACAATTGCAGATAGATTGCGAGTTTTAGTGTCATTAATAATATTGTCCTACAGTTTAAATTTGCATGACCGCTCATTCGCGCATTGAAATTTAGGTCTGTCGTTGAGTGCGAATATAGTTACGCGGATTAAAGAGATATGGCGTGGAATAAGATCCTTTCATTAAATCGTTCTGCGATGATAATCATGTGAAACGCGAAAAATTTCTGAGGTTTCTAAGCTAATGTATTTCGCGATGAAAGAGAAAAATAATGAGAGGGTGAGGGGGGGGGAGGGGACAGTTAAAAACGGAGTGGTGCTTAAGTTGTAAAGCGAACGAGTAGAAAGATCACGGTGATAAAGCGAGTCTTCGTTAAAGAGCGTCAGAAAATAAGGGAAAAGGAAAGTAATGATGGGTCACTTGAATCATAGCCACTTACGTTGCGCTTTAATATTTTTCAAGATCTTTCAAGCCGAATGAATGGCTTTCGCATAAAATAATATTCTAGTGTTGCCTTGTAAAGTTACATTTTACAATATTTTACCAGTACATTTTTTAAATAATCTCAACTTTAATAATTCTTCGAATATCCTTCTTTTTTAATAAAAATGTGCAAACTTTGCGAGTTACATCCATACCGAATCACTTTCCACAGTGAATCCGAGTTTGTATTTCAAATCGAGGCACAGGTGCATCGATGTTTCTTATATGACGAATTTAAATCGGTATGGTATTGTATGTAACGTCACATACGTAATACATCCAAATGCGCCGAGTTAGAGGATGGTCCCGGTAGCGCAGACCGCCTTGGTCCTTTTATTTATTTCCATTTGGCCGGACGCCAATATTTCGACAGCGGCGGGCGATATTATTCCCTTAGAACGGACGACGTTTGTGTACCCTAGTTGTACGTACGCCACCGCGAGGTATCCGCTGAGGAACCATTATGACTCACTGTCCTCATAGTTGTCCGACAGCTCTTTTCCGGCCCCCCCTTCTTTATATTCCCGTCTCTCGGGTCCACATCGCCGAATATAAATCTTGTCGGATCGATCCGCGCGGCGGGCTCGCACGACCTTTTGTTCTCGTTTCGGGCGGGAACAGCGGTGTCCTCTAATTGCTATTTGTCTACGAGCTTCCGGTTGCCGCTCGTTAACGTCCGGCCGAATATTTTACCGTTAATGCATCGCGGACGGACGGGTGTATCGCCAACCGATATCCCCGCGTCATCCATTAAATTATATATATATATATATGTGTGTGTGTGTGTGTGTGTGTGTGTGTGTGTGTGAGGGAAGGAAAGAGAAAACGGAATTAATTAAATGATAATCATTGCATAATTCGTTCATAAGTTGCCGCTAACAAATGATCGTTCGTTCTGGAAGAGCCGATACGAGTTGGCTGTCGGGACGATTGTGACAAAAGTGTGTCACGTCGTATGTCGTCGTCACGAACTTTGCGATGCGTTTGCACGTCTGCTCCTCGTCGCGCGAAGAAGGATCCTCTCTCGCGTCATTTAATTAACGTAGTTTCGCCTCGGAAAAACAACTCATCGTCGTCTTCGTCAACTCGAGCGCCCCGAATGTTTTCGTCTCATCGTCGCGAAAGTAGGGGCAAAGTAACGTACGTTGCAAATCATCGGCGAAATGAAATGATCACCGTGAAAGGGCATGGGTCAAATTTTTGCGACCGAGTCAGAGGAGTTAATCAGTTTCTTTTGTATATATATATATATATTTTCCCAGGCACGTGCGTCGGTAGTCGTATAAAATTTTCGTTGGGAAACATTGGAAAGCAATCTGGGCGCTGTACAATGATAAAATTATTGGCTCTCTTAAAAAAGGGAGTGCAGTTTAGTTAAAATATTTATTTGCATCGCGATATATTGAGTTATAATTAGAGTTATAATTGACTGAGATTCAAATAAAAATTATTTTTTGAATCTTATCTGCTAGGAACACACATTATATATAAGATAAATATCGATTGCAACTGTCCATCGAATATTTCTTCATTGTCTCGTGCATTTGCAACGTATAATGTAAATAAAGTTTCTTGTGAAGCTGTATAAGAGCCATAGCCGTCCCAAGATTGTAGAGAGCTTGAAAAATTCATAATTCCTTATCTGCTTCCGCCGGGATTTCAGTCGTGGTCCCGGTCACGGGATATCTTTATGGCGGTACACCTGAAAGTTATTTACCGCGACGGACGTGAATTATCGATGAAACTTTTTGTCGCGATTTGTTTTAGCCCGTACCCTCGCACGGACGAAGCTTACTTTACCGCGTAGAAACTAAAAGCAAACCATGAAAACTCGTCCGATTCATTTTCCATATAGCTTTTGAAACGCTACGCGATGCTCGCCCAAAGTATCGCCGATAATTTTACGACTGTGAATAAACAATCATCGTGCAACTGAAGTTTACGACATTTAATAAGAATTTTTAAAAGAAGTTAAATTCCAGGAAATGAAAGTCTACAAAATTTTGCGTTTTTTTTTTTTATTATAATATGATGATGAGATATTTAGTTTCTACATTCTCGCATTTTAATTCCCAGAAAAGTGATTTTCTGATAAATTGCCGTTTCAGCATTGTTTTTAAATTTTAATTATCCTGTCTTTAATTTTTTCTCTTTTCCGTTCTCCTTTTTACACACAATATGCATGTAGGTTTATATCCCAAGGAGTCGTACTTTGGCCGCGCTTTTCGGGCGAGAAGTAACGTGCTCGTTCTGCAGAAATGCACTTTTAGCGCACGTGAGCGACGTAGTGCTGATCGTATATCTACTTTTACGACGGAAACATCCGTCGGTAGGAAAAAATATTATTCGACGTGTACGGGACGACTAACCAGCCGCAAAAAAAAAGCGAGTGTTTAAGCGTCTTTTCCTGTGAATGTCTTGTAATTCGAGACATTTTCACATTACTGCTAACGTGATCGCACGCGCTATACTGATCACATGGTACCTTTTCTCACTGTTTTTTTCCCATTATTCTGAAGATCAATTTCTTTTTTTATTCACGGCTCTTTTTACGAATAATTTCTTCATTTTCAACAGAATATAGTAGATTTACTTTAGCAGCATTATTCGGCAAGCAGGATAAGCGCTTAATAATTTTCTTTTTGAATTTATTTATAAATTTAAGATTGCTTGTTATGCTGCGAATCACATGACGTTATTTTTTTAATATTTTGGATGTATATATATTCATAAATTTAAAAAAAATTATTAGGCTAAGATCCTGCCTAATATCATTTATTATATTCTATTCTTTAAACTTATTCTGCTTATTACATTGATTTGTTTATTCCTCATTTTGTTTTCAAGATTCCGGAATAATCTAAAGATGACGTCATCATCCTGATTGTGACTTTAATTGAATAATATGAAATGTCCAGAAACGTTCCTTCGACTTTTACTTCAATGACAAATTCTTCGAGAGTTTTTACTTAAGGAAGACGTTGCACTTTAAGATTTTATCTATTGGAAATTTTCCAATTTAGCATTAAAATCCTGGCAATGAAATCAGGAATTGAAATACTGGAGAAGAAATTAAGTTTAATTGAATATGGAGAATGAGATTATTCTTTCTCGTTTAATCGCATCTTAGAATTTTCGTGAAAAGCCCTTTATTTCCGATAGGAAACTATCGACTTTTTTTATTGGGAAACTATAGCAACTAAAAATTGCTGGTGTCTCAACAACTTTTTCTTGAAGACAAGGTGAATGAGCAAACTAACTCGCATTGTAAAATACATACTGCAACCAGAAAGAATATTTTCATTGGAACGTCGTAAAGGTTGACAATGTTATTGTCGTAAAATCTAATCTGTTTCGTGACTCGGGAATATGCGCGACCTAATAAATAAATCTTGCCTTCTCTCGTATGTATTACTTCAACGCAACGAAACGAAGATATGGAAGATATGTGATAAGAATGAATGATTGTTCTCCGGTCACAATTTCCATAGATCTTAAAAATAGAGTAAAAATTTTTTTGCTTTGTCAAAATTACATTAAGATTTACGATACGCATAACTTCTAAAAAGTCCTTATTATACTTTATTTGCAAATTTAATTAATTTTTTTAATCGAAGAAGAGAGAATCGATTTTGATCTTGATTGGTAAATAAAGAAAAGAAGGAGCTTTCTCTGAGTTTTCCGCTCGTTATCGTGGGACGGGCGCGATTTCGCGGATTCTTCGTATCCACGGTATTCACTAGAAAAAGCTCCGAGTTTCTCCATTGGTAAACTTTCGATCGGCCGACGAAGTCGGCGAGGCACAACCCGCGCAAGTTAATAGCCCCAAATCCGTTTCCTTTTCTTTCGGGAAGGATTTTGCCGTCGCGTTTGTCGCGCGATCCCCAAGTAGATTGCCATACAAATCGTCGTCATTAAATTAGTTACGCGCCGGGAAAAACCGCCGCGATTTCGCTCGTTCGAATCCGTCTTCCGCGAGAGATAAACGCGAGAACGGAATTCGTTATCGTCAGCATTCGAGAACGAGGAAGAAGGAAGAAAATAAACGTTATACATAGAAGGAGACGAGATAGATAACCACGTTGTCAAACTACAATCAAAAAAACTTTTTGTAATTTAAATCACGGGAAAAATATGCAAATATCATTATTAATTTTTTTTTTAACGGAACCATAGACGCTCGATTAAATACTACACGTATTAATAATAACGGCAACTGATCTGTAATATTCTCGATATCTCGTTTCTCTTTCAATCCAAACGAAGAAAAATGTCGGAATAATTAGCGGAATAATAATTTTGATGAAATAAATACTGTAATCGTATAATCGGCGATACGGAACAAAAACATCTGTCGCAATATTTGTTGCAAGTGGAACAATTTTCGCATGACTTCGTGTGAATATAAACAGCTCGCGTTTTTCTTCTACCGTATTTAATTAATCCGGCTTGGCGCAATTGCGGCATGCGAACCGGTGTTAGTGAAGTGTTTTGGATTTGCCGAAACAGATTACAGAACGTTGCGCTGAAGCCAGCTTAGCTCAACCGAATGGAAAAATCTTGCCTCTCGTTATTTATTTTTTTTAACATTCCTTTGTCACACATAAAATCCCCATTTCATGTCGATTAATTTCAGATAATTTATTGGGAAAACAAATTTATTATTAATGAAAATTTTACAATTAGAAAGTAATAAAATTAAGAGAGAGATTAGTAATTTTTGATAATACCTAAGGATTAGGAAACAAATCTATCGTCTTCTTTTAACGTTCAGGATCATTGCAGCGTCGACGATAGAAAAATACATGAAAGATGGTCAGCTTTCAGATCTCGGCTCAATTTCCATTTGTCGTCGATTGCATTATGTTTTGCGCCGCGTGGAAACAATCGCGTGTTTCCTCGTACATCACGGGTTTTTAGCGATATCGACGGGCATTAATTACTTTAAGAACTTCATCGATCTATCCTCATATCAGATAGAAATCTAGAGGAATCTAGAGGTGCAATGTAGACGAGAAGTAAAATCGAGAAGATTCGCATCTCGCAATATCGGTAGATTCCTCCCTCGTACCCTTGACTCAAACGGGTCGGCGAAGTTGTCGAGCCAGCCGGGCGTTAATTATTGATACGGGTACATAAAGTTCCAGACGATCGGTGCATGTTCGCAGACATGCCGTTCCAGAAACACGGATCCGTTGCCCATACGAAACATGACGTTGGTCAGGGAGTGAACCAAGGAAGGCGAACTAAGCGGGGCGAGACCGACGTCGGATAAGAGATAAAGGGGGAAGCAGACTTTCGAGGCTTGGGTCGCTGCCCAATGAGGACGGTCTCGGTGATGCCTTAAGTGCGGATAATTCATCAAAGTCTCATTAGGCTAATGCCTTGGGGGCCTGTATCTTGAACGACATTACCGTGATCGTCGCGGGATTGCAGAGGACGCGAGCTTCTTAGGGATTCTGATTTTTTTTTATATAACGAACAGGTTAGACATTCGACGGTTATGGAGGAAAGATGAGCAAATTTTTGCTAAATTCCGTTTCCTTCGATTGGAAATTACTTTTTCACGTGTTTCATATATTTGTCCACTTTTTAATTTATTTCTAAATAAAGGATATCACAAATCCTGAAGAAATATACTTTTTATCATTTCTCAAGAATCAGATTACTAATAATCTCGTCCTTCTGTATGCCGCAACAACAATCGCCGAGCTGTCGAGAGACACTGTTTGTTCTAGACTTTAAAGCACTGGCATGCAACGTCTTATCTAGTTTCCTGAAACTTTGGCTTATCTCTCACGCGACGTTCATTTTCTCTTATCTCGTGGGTGGAGATTGGAAAGAGCGACGAGAAACGCGACGTTACAAATCCTAGACGCATTTATATTTAATACGCTGTAAAAATTTGGCGCTATAGCTTCCGGTTTACCGCAGCTATCTTGAATTCTGCTAGACGCTAGAAGCGGAAAAACGCATGACGAAAATTTTTTGCAAAATATATGAAAATGTGAAACCACGTTTTCTCCTCGATTATTTAGGCGGTACGAAAACGATCATAAAAACGAACGAACCGAGTATTCGCGTTGTTCAATAGTGTATTCAAGTTTACGAGCATTCGTCTTCGTGTTTCAGCTATTGGCGGAGCAAAAGAAGTTCAACGACGAGATGCGGCGACAGTTGAAACTGCAGTCGGAGATACACGCCGATCATCTTCGAGAGGCACTTTCGGTTAAAGAGCAGGAAACGCAAAGGATGCTGCAGCACGCGCTCAGCGAGCAAGCTGACGTCGACTCCATAAAGCACAAGGCACAGCTCGCAGAGGTAGTTGGAAGGTTACGTGCTCTCACAGTGGCTCTCAAAAGTAAGTATCTATCGTCTCTCTCTCTCTCTCTATATATCCTCTTCCTTCGAAGCAGCAGAAATAAGCAGCGTTTTCTTTTCCGCGAGGAAATTGCGATTTGTAACTTGTATCGCGTAAAAAAAAAAAAATGTCGATGTCGATTAAAGACAATGCGAATTAGGCAACGATTTAAAGTACACCATTTGATTTCGTTACCTTTGAATCGACCTCATCTAATGTGATTCTCTCCGTAATCACTTAGACTAGTCTGGATCGAGTCCGTAGAAATGATCGTAACCCTTGATGGAAACGTCCATCAGTCTAGAGTAAGTAAATGTCCAACGTCCATTGTGCCGTTCAACGGACAAATCATCTTTCGGAGGGAGATGCTCTCGCCTTTGTCGTCTCCGCCATTGTGCCATGTCCTGGCGTTTAATTACAGGGGCAAAAAACACGGGCCTGGTCTCTATAAAAGACCGCGCACCCTCCGCGTCCGTGTCGAGAAAGTGTCGGCGACATTTTGAGACGCTTGATCTCCTCCGACTGTTTGTCTTCTCCTGATCCCTTTGTCCTTTCGACGGTAATGGACCTCTCACGGTCCTGATTCGGACCTCGAGGAGTGTCGTATTTCGCCATCGAATGTGTAGCGTTTGCGCGATCAGTAATGTTTGCGACTTGCACCCTCTGTCTTTCGCCGGGCCGGACGTGTAACTTAGCCACGGATATTTACAAAGGGGAAAAATACGATCCTATAATTGTTCGCGAAAAAAAGGCTAATATCCAATAGCAAAGTCTTAAAGTTGTCAAAGCGATCTAAGCAGTCAGCATTATCGTGTTTGACAAGAAAAGACAATAAATATATATATAT